TCCATGCTGAGTGTAGAGCCTGTTTTAAGATTCTCTCTCTCTCTTCCTCTGCCCCTCTCCCCACTCATACACCCTCTCTTTCTCTAAAATAAAATTTAATAAAATAAATTATTTTTGATAAAATAGCATCATATAGTGCATATCGTTTTGTAATCTTATTTTTCTCAACATTACATTTTTGAGAATTCTTCATGTCCATACATGTATAACTGGCTCGTTTGTTATAACTGCTATATAATATTCATTCCGGTGTGAATAAACAGCCTTTCCATTCCTCTACTGGTGGACATTTAGGGTCTTTCCACTTTTTTCTAGGATAAACAGTGCTGCCGTGAACAACCTCATGTATGACTCTTTGGGCATAGTTACCTTTTCAACTTTATTTAGTTTGGCAAATTATTTAAATAATGTGATCATACTAATTTGCATTCTCACTAGCAAGCGTCCCATATTCCTAAATACTCAAACACACTTAAAATTAATAATGTTATTATTTTTGCCAATAATATGAGTGTAAAATGTTATCTCATTATTACTTCTTTTGCATTTTCCTTATTTCCAATAAGGTTGAATATCTTTTTATATGTTTATAGGCTATTTGGATTTTTATTGCTGTGAATGAAATATCCTTTGATTATTTTATATTTCTTATATTTTTGTCTTTTTCTTACTGCTTCATTGGTATTCTGTACATACTCTGAATACTAGATCCTTTATCCAACAAATTGTCTATAATCACATTTACCAGCCTGTTCATTTATTGCTTCCATAAACTACTTCTTATGCTTATGAGTTAAACTCTTGCTACATAAAGTGTGATCCATGGACCAGGAGCATCAGCATTAGCTGGGAATTTGTTAAAATTGCAGATTCCTGAGGCCCACCCACAATCTGCTAAATCAGAAACTGCATTTTAACAAGACTACTGGGTGATTTGTATGTGCATTAAAGATTTTAAAATAGCAGATTAAATGATTAAGAAAAGTGTAAATTTTCTTCCCTGAGTAATAGGATAGTCGTCCCCACCTGCCTTCTGCTGCTTTTCTATAAATCAAATTCCCTGGCTTTGGACCCAAATGCCCTCAGTTAATATATCCTGGAGCTGCACCACAAAATTTCAGCAAAGAAGCTATTAGAATCTGATTTGTAAATGTGGATGTTTATGGGATTTCAGAGTGGGGTTTTCAAAGTGGAGATACACCTGTTTATCTGAGTCCAAAGAACGAAACAGTGGTGGCAGCTACATTGTTATACAACTCAAAATGCAAGCCTTGGAAGTTTCATTGAGTGCCCCCAAGAAAGGAACTGGTTCGGCGAGGAAGCGTGTTCCGTCAACTGTCTTCCTTGTTTGTACATGCCTCTATTTTTAAGTTGACACAAAATGCTCCACAAATGAAAAACAACTAAAATTAATAGGGGAAATCCGAGAGTTGTGCATATTGTCAGACGCGCGATGACTCCCGTATACCTACATGATTTCCTGAGGCTAGCCACCTAGGAAGGGGCACTGAAAAGAGCACGGGACTGTAGCCAAGAGTCAGAAAGTTATACCTTAGAACTCCCTGCCTTCTCCAACACGAGGGAGGTGATTCCACAGAAACCATCGGCCTATAGGGATGTGGCAGAGATATTTACCACTCCCTGAATGTCTCAGGTGCTCCCACATTTCCCCGCCTGCCTGCAGTTCACAGGGGCACAGCTCATGGGATCAGGCCAATGGGTTGTAAGAAGCCCAAACGTGTCACCTGTTGCCTGAAACATTTCATTTCCTGCTTCCTCTCTCTCTTGACCTGCTATGGCAACCAAAGAGGTCAGGAGTCACAATGGTGCCTTTGTAAGGTTGTTGACCCTCCGTCAGTTGTCCTGGCCCCTGAGTGATCAGTGAAAGAGGATCCTCCCAGTGAGCCACGTTGGACATGTAGCATGAGTGAGGAAAAAACATTTTTGTTCGTGTTAAGCCACTGAGATTTGAGTGTTTCTTACAATGCAGCATAGCCTGGGTTATGCTGATACAGGGAGCATAGATGACTCTGCCTTATTAATAACAGCTAACATTGCTGAGTGTTACTTTCTAGTCCAGGCACCGTAGTATAAGTTCTATGTGCATTATCTAGTATCTCACAATAACCTTCGGAGATAGAAAATAGTATTATCATATATTATATGACGTATGTGATATGTACCTATACCATATGTATCAGTTTCATATAGATATAATCTACTATATGTGTGTGTGTATGTGTGTACATATCAGTGGTATATTGTACAAGGAGGCTTTCTTCCTTTCCTCTTGTTATGCTAAACATACTGTCTCTCCTTCTAGCTAAGACTAGTCCCTTCACATGAGATCTGGATGCTATCTCTTCCTTATATTATTGGTTATTCTTTCACTCTCTTGAACCTGTGTTTTCTGTCCTATTCTGTTTGCCCCTCAGTATTCTCAAGTCTCCCCAAACTTATCAGAATCCCTCCATCTACCCCTCTTCCTCCTCCTCCAAATACTATCTCCTGTCCCCTCCTATTCCATCTCAATCTCCTGTGTCTAAAGTGTTCACCCTCACTTGTTTCTTTCAGCTTCTCCCACTCTCAACTCCAGTATTATTTCTTCCTCCATCACTCTACCAGACACCTCTTTTCAGCACTACTGGTGATCCCTGCATTGCGAAATTCAGTGGGCAGCTTTCACCTTACCTCATTTCTGAGCGTCACGTGACAACTGACCACACCCCTCCTGTTGAAACCCTATTCTGTCCAGCTCTCCCTCCGTGGTTTCTCTCTCTTTTTTAGCTTCATCGTCTCTTGCTGGGCCATTAAATATTGGCCTTCATCACAACTCATCCTAGCCTCTCTTTTCTTTCCTTCTATAGTCATCATATAGCCAGTCTTTTATAGTCACTTTTATAGCCAGTCTTTCACCTAGAAGTCTTTCCCAAGGCTTCCTAGACCCAGGCACCCCCAAATATGTGCCTCTATCTGGGACTCCTACTTGCCAATTGGCTGCTCAGCTCGGCACCTCCAGTTGGATGGATGCCTTAGTGTGCTCAAGGCTGAACCATACTGTTCCCTCCGCCCCACCTACTTTACTCCACCCTTCCTTTTCTTTCCTCAGTGTTCCCCATCTTGGTGAATGGCACCACCCTTCCCCTATTTGCTTATGTTGGAAACCCTGGAGTAGAGCTACATCAATATCTTCTGGAATGCTCAGGCAGCAATATGTGCTTTCTCTTTTTGAAATTAAAAAAAAAAAAAACTAAAGCATATCATAACTAAAGTAAGTGTTTAGAAATTCTTATTTTCCCATAGTGACTACTATGATGCTTTCGTAAGGAATATTAACCTTTTCCCAAAATAATTTAGGGCCCTTTGCTGTTGTTGTAAGAGCTATTTGGTAGCCCTGCACCGCCTAAGAGTCAATAGTCAGACACCATTCCCTGTTGGTTCTGCCTCCTAAGATATTTTCAAATCTGCCTGCTCCAAATTTGTCAGAACACCATATGCCAAGCCATGGTGACTGTTATCTGCACTAGCCTCTGAACCCCCCTCCTTGCTCCAATTTACTCCCCACAGATCAGCCAGGTAGAGTGATCCCAGGAATACACATGGCTGACCCTGTCACTCCACTGCTTAAAACCCCTCAGTGGCTTCCCATTGTCCTTAGGATAAAATCTCAGATCCTTAACAGGCCCAAGACCCTGCCACTTTGCCATGAGCCAGTGTTATCTCTTTGAGCTCCTAGAAAGGGCTACACTTTTTATGAGTCCTTGCCCACAATTTACTTTCTTCCCAGAGCTGTCTCACCTCTCCCTGCTTCTCCTTCTTCAGTTCTTAGATTTAATGATGTTTCTTTAGAGAAGCATTTCTTAACCTCTCACACCAGGTCAATGCTCCCCCTTAAACACTTTCTTGGTAACTCCCGCTTGATTGTTTGTGTATTGCATAGTTTAAGCTCTCCTTCCCATTTTAATCAGACTCCCTGAGAAAGCCAATAACATGCTCTAGTACACACAAGATCCCTGAATCCAGCTTTGTTTATTTCTAGAGTCAGTGGCCACAACTACCACATGTGCATACATTTACTCCTCCTGGAGGATGGCTTTGTGCCTCTTTGTTTTATGATGAATGGGAAACTAAAGTTAGTAGAAAAATACAACATTTCTGGATGAATTCTAAAGCAATGATGTGCTGCTGTTGGCGAATCTCTTTGTGGATTTTCTGTCAGTAGCAGATTGCACACCTCAGCCATCTTCTGTGGGAGGACAGAAGGGAACACTCAAAGGACAGGTTGGGCAGGCTAAGCTAGACCCCAGCTCTCCCCTATTGTATGACCTCCACATCCATAAAAGGGAGTAACATTAACTACCTTACAGGACTGCAGTAGGGCTCATTAATTCAATAAAGATTTAATGAGCATCTAGTATATGCAAGGTCTCGATTTATATGCTGGGGATACAAATGCCTTTTGTGGATATTTAACATAGTGCCTATTTCATTTACAGTTATAGATGGTCACTTATTACTAGTATTATTACATTTGTGTGTCGACGTTTGCCTGTGTCACACAGCCTGAGTGAGACAGCAGGTGATATTTGTGACGTCTGTCACTACCCTTAGGAGGACCCCGCAGGGCCTGGATCACCACATCCTCACTGAACGGCGTGGCCGCCCCTCCCCTCCTGGCCACCAGAGGGCGCGCGGCCTCTACCGCCCCGCCCGCAGCGTTTGCGCCTGCGCCTGCGCCGCGCCGGGCGCCCGGCGCCAGGCCTCCGCCCCCCTTTCCCAACGGCCGCCCCGCCTCCCGCCCCAAAGTTCCGCCTCCGTTGCCCCTAGCGGCTGTTTGTTGACTTCCGGGAACGCGGCAGTTGCCGATGTCCGGGGTGTCGCTATGGGGACCCGGGGGGCGTCCGCAGCCCGCGTCGGGGCTGAGAAGCTGCCATAGACCCCGCGGAGTCGCCCCCGCCACCTTCCCGGTTCGGGCGCAGGCTTCCCGCACCTCCTTCGGCATGGGGGAATCCGAGGAGGTGGTACCCGGTGAGTCGCGTCCGCGGTGGTGGCGGCGGGCCGGGAGGGAGGGTCCGCGGGCGGGCGGGCGGCCAGGTCCCGCCTCCGGGCCGCCCCGTTGGGGGAAAGGCCCGGGCGGCGGCCGCGGGACTGGGTCCTGAGCTCAGGCCGTGCCCGGGCGCAAGACTGAGAGGAGCAGAAAGGAAGGGGGGAGCACGGGGAAGCGGTATTTGTGTTTCTTCTTTCTTTTAGAAGAAGCTTTCGATGAGTTTCTCGAAGGCAGGGGCGGTTTTTACCTCCCAATAAACTTCCCAAAGTACCTCCTTCGAGGTCTCCAGGACGTAGTTGTGTATTGAATGCAGTAAAGAGTGGGTGACCAGGGGGTCGGGTGTGGGGTATAAAAGCTGTTAGCGAGTGCTCGGTGAAGACTATTTCCCTCAGTTACAGAAATAACGTTTGACATTGTGACCCTGTACCATATGTATAGCGTAGCAGAAACAGACGTTTCATGAAGTAGTGCTTATTCTAAGCACTTGGTCTGCACTCGGATCTTTTCTATAGTACATCCCTTTAAAAATGCTAATCGTGACCTACTAAATTGATTTTCTGACCCACTAATGGCTCAAGAACAAGAGTTTAAAATAACACTGGACTGCAGCAGAATCAAGTATTCACTGAAATAAATAAATATGTATTGTGTTTTCTGCCATGCTCTTGGCTGTGACATGATTAGATTTCTGACCTCCTGGACTTCACAGCCTAGTGAGAGATACTAGAAAGTAAGCAAAATGACAATACCATTTCACAGTAAAAACCAGTGGACACAGCACAGCCACCAAACCCTGTCTTGTGGTGAGGGGATCAGGGCGGCTATCTGGAAGGCCAGAATAGGACAAAACAGTTAAAATTATTCATTCTAGGAAAACCCAGAGTCTGTTCTAGAACCTGGCCTCTCACATCTCAATTATCAGTTTGAACTGACACGCCTCACAGTTGTTCTCAAAAGATTTCTTATAGTGCCTAGTCTTTCGTATATTATTATTTATTATTAATACTTATGTTTGCTATGTTTTACTTTTTGGTACCCATTAGTTTCTTTCTGTGTGATTGTTCTTGAGATTTCCTCAGAATCTGGATCTGGCCTATCTGGGTGTGTGTGTATGTGTTTAAATGGTTATCGGGAACTAGTAGAGATTTTTGGTCTCTCTCCAAAATGGTACTGAACCAAAGTAGTTTGTGAATACTACACAGATCGGGTAGTGTTCATTCATTGAGAGCGTTAAATCTCAACGTACTGTATTGACAGGATGCTGATGATGAAACAATACTGTCCTGTTCCCACGTGTGGAGAAAAGCCTTCACTGAGGGGCTGGACCATGAGGTGTTAACCAGGGTTAACAGCAGGGGTTGTATCAGCTCGTTCCAGGGAGCAGATGGTCCACCTGGGGACAACAGGACTTTTAGTAACGGAGGACTGCCTTATTTATTTATTTATTTATTTATTTATTTTGCTTGACACCCGTAAATGAATAATGCATATACAATTTAGCAGATTTCATAAATAAAAGTCGAATCAAGTCTGAGGAATAAGACTGAAGTAAGGTAGAAAGAGAACATAAACAGTGCTGGAGTGGAAGCAAAGCGGACAGGAGACAGGGAATCGGTATAGACAAATTACCGAAAATGTCTTTTAATAACAGGCCGCAGAGTGAAAGTTGTAAAATAGAAACTGTCGAGTGTTTTTGCAGATTCAGGTGCTGTGTTTACTTTCGGAAAAACTGGATTTGCCGAAAACATTCCCAGCAAATTCTGGTTTAAAAATGATATACCTACAGTTCTTTCCTGTGGAGATGAACATACTGCAGTTGTTACAGGTCAGTATTGAAATCCTAAAAGAGGATAGTAAGGCTTAGAGCATCCTGAATCTTAGAGATGTGCTGTGTTTGAAACACCTTGGATATATACTCTGCTTTACCAGAAATGTGATTTTTCTTTCTTTTTTTAAATTTTTTTTTTTCAACGTTTATTTATTTTTGGGACAGGGAGAGACAGAGCATGAACGGGGGAGGGTCAGAGAGAGAGGGAGACAGAGAATCGGAAACAGGCTCCAGGCTCTGAGCCATCAGCCCAGAGCCTGACGCGGGGCTCGAACTCACGGACCGCAAGATCGTGACCTGGCTGAAGTCGGACGCTTAACCGACTGCGCCATCCAGGCGCCCCTGATTTTTCTTTCTTTTACCAGAGAATTCTTGACAATTTGATTCATCAAGAGAGTGTTTTCAATTTTAAATTCCCTGAGTATATTTAATTATGATTTTCTATGCACACTACTTTCTTGGAATATATTTATTTTACTGTATCTACATAATCAAAAGTGATTACTGTATAATCTTAGACACTTTTTACACCTAACAGAATCTGTAGATGGACAGTTAAAATAATTTGCTTTAACCTGGGCAAGGTAACCGGTTTCAATATGGAAAAGCAATACAACTCTTAAGTATAGCTTTTATTATTGCTTTGCGATGACTTCATCTCTCATCACTTTATGTTGAAAATGTTTCACTTTCTTGTGTCTTTTTCCTTCCCACCAGGAAATAATAAACTTTACATGTTTGGCAGTAACAACTGGGGCCAGTTAGGATTAGGATCGAAGTCACCTGTTAGCAAGCCAACGTGTGTCAAAGGTTTGGGGTCTTTTCTTCTTTATTGCTTGAAATACTTAAACTGCATACAGTACTTTTATGCTGATTGTAATGTTCTTTAATATCATATTAAAAATAAAAACCTTTAGTTCTTTTATTCTCTAGTATATACTTGGCTGTTATTGGTGTTTAACTTTATTTTTTATGTGATATTCGGAACTACTTTTATATGTTAGGGTCTAAACATCACATTGATTTTAAGCCCAAAGACCACAAAGGAAGTGATGATTCTTCAGTATTGCCCTTGAATATCCTTTTATTTTGCCTGTTTGTAAACCTACTTAAATATCACTGTTATTATATATACAAAGAACAACCAATACAATATATTAGAATTTTGAGCTCTGTCTCATTTGTTACAAGTTGTGGACATCATGGTTTTATGTGATTGCTGGTTTTAGAAGTTCTACTTTACCCTGCGGTATATAGTGAGTAGATGTACTGAGTGAGACATTGGGACTAGGGGTTGGTTAATACTGGTGTCCTTACAAGAACAGGACAAACTATTTTAAATCAGGACTGTCCTCAAAAACGTGGGGCGTATAATACCTTTACAAAGCTTTCTTGGCATTAATGTGCAAAACTTCTGTTTGGCTATAACCTGTGGACATCAGCTAAGCGTGAGTGGTGATGGAGATTCCTTGGAATGTGACACCAGCAGTATTCTTTATCTTCGTAGCCAAATTTTTAATTTCAGCTCCAAATTGCAGTGTAATTTAGCATATCCATGCTATTCATGGAAGTTGTTATGGAGCTTTCACAGTATTCCACTTGGTCAAAAAGTATTTATGGAGCACAGTCTCCTAAACCCTGGGTTTATTCACAGTCCTTATGATCTTTACTCTCAAATATCTAATACATGAGGTGACAGCATTGTCTAGACTCTGAGATCCTTGACACCAGAGGCTCTGTCCTAGTGATCTTTGCAGCCCCTATGCTAAGCACTTAGAGGGATATTCTGTAAATTTTTTTGAATATGTAAATGAATGAGCGAAGAACTTTAACATAGGTGTATGCCTATGAACATGGGACTTGTAGCATCTCATTGTGTGAGGTAGAAGGCGACCTTGCTGATGGTGATAGCAGATGAGGGAATAGATGAGGTTGGTGGGAGGCATCATAACAGCGCAGTGGATCTCAGTACTTATTAATTAACTGTTTTGAAAAATATGTAGATGCCTAGGCCCTACCTCAGACCTACTGGTGCAGATTCTCCAGGGGCGGGGCTGAGCTATCTGCATTCTCAAAGCTCCGCTGGTTATTCTGATGCACGGCCAGTTCTGAAAACTTTCGGTTCATTCGTCAAAATCACCTCGGGAGTCCGACAGGCCTGGGTTTAAATCTTACTTCTACTGCTTAGTTACCCTTGGACCTGGGTTATTTATCATTCTCATAACCATAAAATAGTTTAATTGTCCTATCTTTTTATATTTTTAGCTTTAAAACCTGAAAAAGTGAAATTCGCTGCCTGTGGAAGGAACCACACCCTAGTCTCAACAGGTGTAGTATTCAATCTGTACGACTTCCTGCCCTATCTGAGGACTGAGGTCGCACTGCAGTAACATTTGTGACTTTGTAAAATTAATAGAAATGGTACCTTGGCAACAGTAAGGTTAGGATTTTTAAAAATGTAAATGGTTGGTATACTTGTTTGCCTTTGAAAATATGTATTTCAATGTTAAATGGCTGAAGAAAATCCTCTTTTCTTGGATGATGTCAAGGGGCAGATCTCCTTACCTGTGTGCACACCTCAAGGGCCACTTGCTCCTGGTCTTGCCTTTCCCTCTTTTCTGAGGGTTAGTGGAAGCTGCCCCTGAAAGGCTATTAATGTGAGCACAATTCCAATCAAAATCCAAACTGTGTGTGTGTGTGTGTGTGTGTGTGTGTGTGTGTGTGTGTGTAGAAACTGACAAGGTAATTTTAAAGTTTATATGGAAAAGCACAGGACCTAGAATAGCCAAAAGAGTTTAGAAAAGAACAGAATTGGAAGACTAGCACTACTGATTTCAAGACCCGTAAAGCCAAAGTAATCAAGACAGTGGGCCATTTGCAAAAATAGGGACAAAGATTCACAGAACAAAACAGTCCAGAAGTAGACCCACGCGCGTATGCCCAACTAACGTTTCACAAAGGTGCCAGGATAATCCAATGGGGGAGAAAGTCATCTTTTCAAACAAATGCTGCAGGAACAAATGGAAACCCAGGCACCGATCACCGAGCCTCCTTTCCTACCTCCCTTCCGTGTTCAGGTTATTCTCACTGCCTCCAGCTTCTCCTGGGCTCTGTGCCCTCATTCATACTTTTTCCTTGCTGAAATGTCCTTCTCTTCTTCAGGTTCTTACCGTTTAAGATCAGTATAAGTCTTCTTCCATGGAAGTTTCTGTGGCTATTCAACTTTGACTCATGCAGCTCTCTGAACTGCTTTAGCATTCCACCAGCTCTTGTTCATGCCATATGTGTTAAATTGTGTGGTCCTATTCCACTTGGCCTTCTAGTATGTTCCATTTGAAAGCTAGTCTTGCTTCCTCAGTTGGGTTTCATTTTTTTCCTAAAATTCTTTAAATTTTTACTGATTCAGGCTGATTTTGCCCTCAGTTTCCCCTATAATTTAATTTCATGTGCATTTTTATGACTAATTTTTAATGCATGTATGTTTTTAAAAATCTACCTTAGAGCTTACTGGCAATTTTTATTATCTAGGCATGATATACTTCATAATTAATGAAGTAAACATTTATATAGTACTTACAATGAGCCAAGTGCTGTTCTAAGAATTTTATGTCAGCTAATTTAATCTTTATAACAACTCTGTGATGTAGGCAGCATTTTTATCCCCATTTTACAGAGGAGGAAAATGAGCCACTGAGAGGTTAAGTATAGCTTGCCCTAGGTCACACAGCTGGTAAGTGGCAAGCTGGCATTTATACCCAGGAAATTGGCTCTCCAGTCCTTTGTCCTAAACACAATACTATACTGCCTTCCTATTTAGCTTGAAAATTAAAATAATTACACAACATAGAGTTTTCATGTTTCTAATTATATTCTTTGTGGATTTGCCTCATTTTACTTGTTACATATTATATCTTAACTTTAATGGGCATGGAAGTTAAAATTAATGAACCACATCTCTTTTAAAATAGTTAGATTTGGATTATAAACTAATTTGGAAATTACTTTCCCCTTTTTTGCTCTGAATTAATAAACTGCTGCATTAGCAAGGAAATATATTCCTCACATTCTGTGCATTTCAATTGCTACTTAAGCTCTAGACTGATTTAGGAAATCTCACAAAAATATATAACCCTGCTTGTTTTGCTTCGTTTTTGACAATGAATTGAAGTTCAGCAAATTGTAGGATAATGTCAGCTTTCATCTTTCTTCACTGTTAACAGAAGAAATATCTGGTAACTGGCCCATCTTGTAAAGATGGTGACTCTGGTATACTGATGTTTTCTTTTCCGTGTGCAGAAGGAGGCAAAGTGTATGCAGCTGGAGGAAATAATGAAGGACAGCTGGGACTTGGTGACACCGAAGAGAGAAACACTTTTCATCTAATTCGTTTTTTTACTTCCCAGCATAAGATTAAACAGCTCTCTGCTGGATCGAACACTTCAGCTGCGCTAACTGGTGAGACTTTGTTCCATTTCAAGCTGGGATCCATCCCTTTCCTTTAGACCAGGTTTTACCAACTCAGTAAACTGACAACAGCATTGCTATTTAGTTTTCTTTCATTAACTGTGTTTTCGGAAGACATTTAAAATCGAACTTTGAGTCATGACATATATTACAGTTTTGTGCTTAGAGTCAGACGTCAACACTTAGCTGCTGTGCCGTCCATCTACTCCTTTAGATGTTCTTAAATACTATCTTCATTGTATAGTGAAAGTTTTATTTGCAGCTTAATGAAGTTGCTATCAGAAACATGGAAATCTATGGGATGTATGTTACTAAAATACAGTCTGTAACGGTCATTGTATCTCTCTGGCCTCCCTCTCAAAAGCCCATCTGAGAAATGTCTTCAAAATTGGAGCCAAGATCTCCCTGGTGCCTGTGAGGGAGCTGCCGGCGGGCTTGTGGGTTCCTGTCGGCAGAGCCGGTGACTTCCCGCCCAGCCCCTAGCTGTCAGGAAGGCCAGGCTCAGAGCCGCAGCCCCACGCCTCCGTCTCTGTCTGCCGTCCACTTAGCAATTTGACGTCCTTCTTTTGGTTCTTGTTCTCAGTTTTCCTTTTATTTGCCTCATTATTACACCACTTCAGAGATTTAAAAAATTTTCAATTTAATGAACAGACATAGGTCTTGATAATTTCCTTTCTAAAGTATCATACCCAGCTTAACTTTTTCTTCCATCGAAACCCTTGTCAGAAAGAACATAAGCTAATGTGTTTCAGAGATGCTGTATGTCCGAATTCTCTGGAGCTGTCTTACATGTTTTCAAGTATAAATTATATTTAAAAAGTGAAATATATTTCTATGTATTTTTGTCTTCCTTTAAAACTTCATTTTTCACAGTGCTCTCAAGAGCAAGGTCCTCCAGGCCCTTTTGACCTAGGACTTGCCCAGGAGATGTCCAGTGCCAGTCATGCTGTCATTCAGTTGCAGGCAGACTGCTTGGAAGGAGGAACCATTTTCTGTTTCGAGATGGTAGACTAGGAAAAGGTTCTTGTAGGGAAAAACACTCTGTCTTTGCTAGTGAGATCAAGATATGGACACGATATGCATCACATTATTCTCTGTCCTTTACCTCATAGAAGCATTTCATAATAGAAATTGAACTCTTAAGTAGCTAGCTGGTGTGAATACCTTAGCATTTTCTCTCAAGACACGTAGTTTTTCTAAATTAAAAAATCAATGGTGTGTTGGAAATAGAGTGACTTGATAGCATTGCTACCTCTTAAAACCTTCTTCCTTGTGTTTTCTTTAGAGGATGGCGAGCTTTTTATGTGGGGTGACAATTCTGAAGGGCAAATTGGTTTAAAAGATGTAACTAATGTGTGTGTCCCTCAGCAAGTGACCGTTGGGAAGCCTATTTCCTGGATCTCTTGTGGATATTACCATTCAGCTTTTGTAACAAGTAAGAAAGGACATTTTGGATTTATCATGGTCTCTAACGTTTCTAAGTGTTTACTCAATAATAAAATGAGCTAACATTCTACAGTTCTGTGGAAATGAGGCCATGGCCGTCTATTTAATGAAATAATTTTGGCCTGTTTTGGGTCACAGTGTTTCTCCATTTTAGTGATGAGAGTTTATAATTTCAAACTCACTCTGACAGGCTAACTTTTCAGTGAATATTAGGTCTGTGAGAAAAACAAAATGCAGATGTTAGAAACTCTTTTCAACTTTGGTTCTCAAACTTCTTGGATTCCTTAGCGTTGGAAATGAGACCTATGGGCCGGGTTCCCCTGGGTGCATTTGCCTGTATACTTAGACCTACTCTACTCTTGTCCTGATAATTTGCTTTTATTTCAGCAAGAGAGTCCCAGGCTTTCACTGTGAGAGCAGGGATATAGAGTAGATGAAAAAAGAAGATTGCTCAGTATAGGATATGATTTCCTTTGCTGGGACTTTGCTCAGTATCCACAGTCTCTCCCTTTCCAGGGCTCCCTGGCAACCCTTTCTGCCTCAGTTAAAATATTTAAAATGTTTTCATCTGCACCTACACCAGGAGTATTGAAGTATGATCCTTCCATCTTATCAGAGGTTTTTCTAAGCACGAAAACACCTAGAGGAAGTAGTTTTGTGGCCCCTCTTACATATCTCTAAATCTTTGTTTTATACATTTACTCCGTTTTTCATGCACATCAGATTCAGATTTAGAAAGTGCTTATTGGCCCATCCCGGTGGCTCCAGATCTACCAATGACTTGGTAGCATCATGGTACCAAGAGAGGGCAAATTCCCAACTCACCTGGCATTGTTCACCACTATATCAGCTTGTGCCTCGAACAAGCTAATAATAAATATCACTGAATGAGGGAGGGAGTGAATGAACAATTAGTTGTGTTCCTTGGGGCAATGCTACCTACCAACTTACTGGCAATTTCTGGGCTTGTGGGGTGGCTCTAGTCTGTGCTCACTTTATGAGACAAACAAAAAGAGCACACAAATGGAAAAACAGTCCAAACAAAAACCCCAGGCAAAAGCATTGTCTTATATTTAGATTTTAATAAAAGTGCCAGATTTCAATGTTATGAGCAAACTCTGCTTTGGCCAGTAGGAAAACAAGGGGAATTGCTCGTCATAACCAGCAGGCATTACACTGAGCATTTTTGTTTTGTTTGTATTTATGCCTTTTTAAAAACAGCTTTATTGAGTGGAATTTAAGAAACAAATGAGCAAAGGGGAAAAAAAGAGACAAATTGAGAAACGGACTCTTAACTATAGAGAACAAACTGCTGGTTACCAGAGGGGAGGTGGAGGGGGTGGGGATGGGTAAAATAGGTGAAGGGGATTGAGGCATGCACTTGTCGTGATGAGCACTGGGTGATGTATGGAAGTGTTGAGTCACTATATAGTACACCTGAAACTAATACAACACTGTATGTTAACTGGCTGGAATGAAAAAACAATTGTTTTAAGTCAACAGACACAAAACCAGCTTTATTGACATGTAGCTCCCATACCATACAATTCACCCATGTTAAGATGTGAGGAGCAGCAGGAAATTTATAGACAGAAGTGGAAAGAAACTCATTTGGACTTAGTGACTCCTTTCATGTGAGAGGCAAGAGGCATGAGAAAAGAGGAAGGGAGCTGACATATGGGACACTTCTGTGCCAGCATTTGCTACTTGATTTTCTATGCTGATCAGTCCAGAAAACTGGTACAACTTATCTTTGTAGTATTTGATCAAGTTTTAAGTGGTGCATACCAGGCATGTCCCACAACTTCCCTAAGTTCTGATTTACGAGAAGGACTCTCAAGCTTCAATAGCAGGTTATACTCACGGCTAATATTTATTACAGCAAAGGATACAGAGCAGGAACAGCTGGAAGAAGATACCTGTCTTCCAGAGAAGTCTAGCATACGCTCCCTAGTCCTTTCTCTTCTGGGGCTGCACAGGACGTGCTTTCTCTTTGGCAGTGAGCTACAGGGATGTGTGTGTGATGTCCCTGCCCAGAGAAGCCCACTGTATTCTCAGGGCCTGAGGCTTCTTTGTAGGGGGCTAGCAGTGTAGGTATAACCTGCTGGCAAGTAGTCACAGCAACTGAAACTCAGGTCCCTCGACAATGAAACCAGGTGCCCTAAGGACCCACGCTGGCATAAATCGCTGCCTCGGGTATACAAAACAAAAATGTCAAGCACTAACAAAGAATACTCCAAGGGCCACGTTCCCCGGGGTTGGTCCGTAGTCAATCGTGGTTCTCTTGGAGACATGCAAGTGATAAGCAATCGGATGTACCGTGTTCCCTCTTTGCTCACACCAGCGGTGATATGTTCTGTGTCAGATTACATTATATATCTACAAAGATTTTTAAGTTCCTGCCTTATAGAATTCAATTATTATCCATTTACAGAAATGGGTAAAAAAAATGTACCTGCCTTCAAGAAGCTCATAGTCATAGTGTGATAAGTATAGCAGAAGCAAGTCAAGACTACTAGTATGGACAAGACAGTGACTAAACATCAAGAGTTCCTTGATAAGAGAATCTTTCTGGAGCAAGTGCCATCTACTTGAGTAAAATCTGCTATCTTAAGGCTTACTCAGCATATTTACTTCACACATAAATGAGTTTTTTTAAACAAATTTCATAAAACATTTAACAAGTATTCATTAAATATTTCATATACTGGACACTGCTAGGTTCTTGGAATACCAAAATGGACAAGACAAAATCCATGTCCCTATGTGGGCTTAATGTCTAGTCGTTTTGCTTTACTAAAAGTAAGTGGAAGTAAGATGGTCTTCTCTATGTCTTATGAAAGAGCTAAAATCCTTTTCTAGTTCATTAGTAGTGATGGTTGTGAATTCATGAACATTTTGGGTTAGAATAATCAAGGGGAAAAGAAAACCTTAGCTTTATTTCCTTACCATGCAGTAAAAATATCTCAAGAAAGGTTAAATTTATCCAGTTGTCATTGAATGCATTTTTGGTTGAACGTGAGAACGTGTACCTCAAAGACCAGTATTTTGTCTGTAGGTCTGTCATCATTGACTACTGTTCTTTTCCTTCAATAGCGGAGGGAGAACTGTACACGTTTGGAGAACCAGAGAGTGGGAAGTTAGGTCTTCCCAATCAGCTGCTTTGCAACCACAGGATGCCCCAGCCGGTGCCTGGAATTCCCGAGAAGGTGGTCCAGGTAGCTTGTGGTGGAGGGCACACGGTGGTTCTCACAGGTACGTGTGGAACTCGCTGCTGCGTTCCCAACTTTCTGTGCTGGCTAATGAAAAAAACATTTACGTTCATTTTCTTTTATTGTGATGAGAAAGCTTCACACCTGATCCACCCTCTTCACAGATTTTTAAGTCTGTAATACAGTATCATTATCTCTAGACACAGTGTTGCACAGCAGATCTCTAGAACTTATCTTGCGCAACTGAAACTTTGTACCCATTGATAAGCTGCAACCCTTTCCCCCTCCCAACCCTGGCAACCACCATTCTGGTCTCTGCTTCTATGAGCTTGACCGTCTGAGATACCTCACATAGGCTGGCCTTGCATCTGGTTTTTTTTTTTTCAACGTTTTTTTTTTTTTTTTATTTATTTTTGGGACAGAGAGAGACAGAGCATGAACGGGGGAGGGGCAGAGAGAGAGGGAGACACAGAATCGGAAACAGGCTCCAGGCTCTGAGCCATCAGCCCAGAGCCCGACGCGGGGCTCGAACTCACGGAGCGCGAGATCGTGACCTGGCTGAAGTCGGACGCTTAACCGACTGCGCCACCCAGGCGCCCCTGCATCTGGTTTTTACTAAGATCCCCACCTTTGATTTCCATTGTTAACACACATTCCTGGCCTATGGGAGAAATTTGTAAGTAGAAAAAAATGAATCTTTTTGAATTGTTTTGAATCTTTTGTTTGAATAGTGGACATTTTCATGATCTTAACACCTTTAACGGCAGCAGATAACATTGTTTTAGCTTGTTTTCAAGGACCGTTTTCCTCGCCCACGCGTGTGTGTATATATATTCCATATTTATCTAAAATTGACGTTATTGGGAGTGCCTGGGTGGCTCAGTCGGTTAAGCGTCCGACTTCAGCTCAGGTCACGATCTCGCGGTCTGTGAGTTCGAGCACCGCGTCGCGCTCTGGGCTGATGGCTCAGAGCCTGGAGCCTGCTTCCGATTCTGTGTCTCCCTCTCTCTCTGCCCCTCCCCCGTTCATGCTGTCTCTCTCTGTCTCAAAAATAAATAAAAAACATTAAAAAAATTTTTTTTAAACAAAAAAAATAATAAAATTGACATTATTTTTCCTGAAACATTTTCTTTTCCCTGTTCATGCTATTTTCTACATGTCATTGATGATTCTTTTCTTTGTGATATTCACAATGTAGAAGTTGGTAATTTCTTTGTGATTTTTATGTTCTGTTATAGTAATTCATCAAAAAATGTTAAGTTTTAAATTCTAGATAATAAAAGAAAGTTAGAGCCTTAAACACAATGTCACTTTTGGCTTTTGAATTTCGTATTTGGTATGACATGTCACTTTTCAGGATCCTAGTCAATCTGGTGAAATATATGTACTTCTTGATAATACACTTACTAAATTGCTGCCCCTAAATTTGTTCAGCATCAGATTTCTTTATGACGAGTAGTACACAGGTAATACAGTCAGTGAATTATTATGGGTTTTTTTTGGTCAAAAAGAAATGAACAGTTTCTGAAGTTACCACTTAATCGTCAAGTAACCCAAAGTTAGCATTCTAGACAAATTTTGAATAATATCCAATTCTCAGATGATCTGCTTAATGTTGCAAGGTGATTGAGCAACATTTTACCTTTAGATTTCCCTCCCTTCTATCACTTTGCCTTAACTTTTTGGTCTAAATCCCAGTCATGCTTATTAAGCTATGGTTTTCCAGAATTACAGTGCCCCGATGGGATCCTTTTTCCAGGTTAGAAATAATTTTTTTTCCAAGACCTCCACTCTGAATTTTGGAAATAATTCTGGGGTTTAAGATTTCTTTGAATTTCTGCTAACAGAATGAATTTTCATATGTTTTTGGAAAGATTTATTCTAGCAGAGCCTGGGTGGCTCGGTCAGTTAAATGTGCAGCTCTTGATTTCAGCTCAGGTTATGATCTTCCAGTCGTGAGAGTGAGCCCCTTATCTGGCTTTGTGCTGGACATGGAGCCTCTCTCCGTCTCCCCCTCCCTGTGCCCCTGCCCTGTGCACATGCTCTCTCTCTCTCTCTTTCTCTCCAAAAAAAAAAAAAAAAAAAAAGATTTATGCTAGAAATTAAACTTTTAAATTAATCTTTATAAATTATCTGAAAATGTATTCTATAGGCAGAAATACAACTTATTCTTTATGTGTCATATATTTTCTATAGTTTCTACAAAGATTATAGAAAGAATTTATTAGGAGACTGAAGCTTATTCTAAAGGACACAAATATTGATTATATAATAATAATGTCATTCAGCCATATATTATAAAATACTGTTATAGAAAATGAGCACCCAGATAATCCATAATACTTTTAATTATACTTAAAATTTAAAAATGCACTGAAGCATGATATTTTCTTGCAGGATTATAGAAATTTACCTTTCTATGGATTTAATTTTGAGGTTAAAAACTTTGCTGCCAGAAATTGTTCTCTCTAGATTCTTGCAGCCTTCAGGATGTCACAGAGCAGTAAAGTTTTCATATTTAAAATTTTTAATTTTGTGAAAAGAATAGGAGGACCATCAGGGGTGCCTGGGTGGCTCAGTCAGTTAGGTGTCCACCTCCAGCTCAGGTCATGATCTTGTGGTCCACGAGTTCGAGCCTGTGTCAGGCTCTGTGCTGACAGCTCAGAGCCTGGAGCCTGCTTCGGATACTGTGTCTCCCTCTCTCTCTGCCCCTCCCCCACTCACACACTCTGTCTCTCTCTCAAAAATAAATAAATAAATAATAAGTAAATAATAAATAAACAAATTTTTAAAAAAAGAATACAAGGACCAAAAGACAGTTGCCATGTTCTGATTTGCATTTGGCTAAATATGGACATTGCATAAAAAATGTAAGCGTTCCATCATTATACCATAAATAACAGGCATTTCAAAACAAATATTAATAAGCTCTCAATTCTATTGTAAAACACTCTCTCTTAAATTATATACATTTATCTGTATGGAAAAGTCACTACTTTACCTGTTTTTCACATATCTCCACGGACCTGTGACAGCTTTATTATGATCCAGCCCTGGTGAGAAACCTGTGTCCCGGAGTACAGTGTGGACAGAAATGTTTAGTCTTAACTGATGAAGAAATGGACCCAAAGCATGTATTGATTATCGTTGACTAAGTGCTAAATTGAATACTTGAGAGCTATAGAATACTGTGCAAGACCTTAAAGGAAATAATAGCTAACCATCTGTTCCAGACGATTCCCTTCACTAAAGGAAAGGGCTTGGATTAGGTGATTCTATGGGGTCCCTCCCTAGCATTCTTTTTCCTTTTGTCTGTAACTCTGATCTTAAAAGCTGTTTGGGTATCATTCATTAAAATACTTTAAAGGTAATTTCAATTAGTTTATTGCTGATGAATTTATTTAAAACATAATGTTTCTACATTGACTGTAATAGGGTACAAAATGAAACTACTGGTTATAGTGAAAGTATGCTTAGTTTCTTCTTAGAATCAGGGAGACAGTGGACTCCTGTTGAGAAAGTGTCAGCCTGGAACTTGGGATACACTGAGTGAGACAGAGTGATAGATGTAATCTGGTATGTCATCCACAGCATTCCCGACAAACAAAACAGTCCTGCTTATAAGATGGGGTCCATAGTGAAGTCTGGATCCCAAGGGAAATAAGAACTTACCTTAACTTCTCTAGATTATGTTTGGACAAACTCAAGTTCTGTACATGGCAGCAAGCTACTAGTCATGAGATGAAGTGTATTCTGAGAAATCAGAATAATAGGGAAGCTAATAAAACTGGTTTTCTTAATAGGGTATTATTAATCAGCGTCAAATTACATTGTTAAATGTTACAAAGGTGATATGACCAAAAATATATTAGTTGCGAAATGTAATGTCCTTAGGTAAAAGAGTCTTAGGTCATTTTTTAAAAAATGGAAACTGTTGTCATTGCTAATCATCCAAGTACCCAAGAGCGAACCCAATAGGGTAAGGAGCAAAACTTGTGTAGCCTGATTCAGGCTGCCGAAATGGCTTCATTTCCCAGGCTCATCTCAGCCTGCGCAAGCTAGAGTGATTATCGGCCAGCAAGAGATAGGCACTTGGTTTTTTATGCTTGTTTATTTTTGAGAGAGAGACAGACAGACAGAGTGTGAGCAGGGGAGGAGCAGAGAGAGAGGGAGACACAGAATCCGAACCAGGCTCCAGGCTCTGAGCTGTCAGCACAGAGCCTGACACAGGGCTCGAACTCAATGGACCTCAAGATCATGACCTGAGCTGAAGTCAGATGCTTAACCAGCTGAGCCACCCAGGTGCCCCTGGTGACTTGTAATTCTCATGTAAATTCTCCTCTGAAATTGTTTTACAAAATATATTATTCTGTTAAACTACTTTTGAAAAGTAAGGAGTTTTTCTGGAGGAAACACTACTCATGTTTTTATTTTAAGGCAATGAAAGGAATTAGCTTAATGACAACTGATGCTATTTTTAAAAAGCTGAGTGCTAATTATAAGGACATGTTAGGTAGTTCACTGAGTTACGTGTCTTTAGCAATTCTTATGGTTATACGTAAAAGATAAAACCAGGCCCATGCCCTAACTTTTAGAATTGTGTGCCTTGTCATTTTTCTCTTCCTTTGTCATTGAGAATGTGTACCTAGGTATTAGGCATTCTTATATGGGTATTTCAGAGACACTTAACTTTCATCATGAAAGTTTGATTGTGACAGTTTTTCTAGCTATAATGGTGACTGTGTCTGCTTCCCTGCAGTCCTTTTCTTATATTTATTTGCTCATTCCCTTTCAGAGAAAGCCGTGTATACCTTTGGGCTGGGACAGTTCGGTCAGCTGGGTCTTGGTACTTTTCTTTTCGAAACTTCAGTACCCAAAGTCATTGAGCATATTAAGGATCAGAAAATAAGTTCTATTTCCTGTGGAGAAAATCACACAGCTCTGGTAACAGGTACAGATGAGAATTTCTGTTACATATTTATAGAACTGGGTATGTTTTAGTACAAAATAAAAACTATGTGGAATTATTGTATCTAACTTAAGCAAAGGAATCAATAACTGACAAAATAGAAGTTCTTGTTTAATATGCCAAAGTGTAAAGTTGTAAACTCTTTTTTAGTATTTGTTCAATTTAAAATCAGTGTAAATGATCCAAAGATTTAGAACCTCAAAACAAGTCAGTGCTATAGTAGTATTATACTCTGGCAGAAAGCTGGAATCTTTTTGAAATTGCATCAGTTTGCAGGCTCTTAACTCTGCTCAGGCCAGAGGAAAAAGTCTTATAAGAAAGAACCTACTATAAAAGAGTCTCCACGTTCAATCAGACACAGCTATATTCTGGCTGAGTCGGTTCCTACGAACCTTTTGCCACTAGGAGGCGTTTTCAGGAGTGACTCTGCTACTTTCTCCCCAGTGATCGAAGGGCACCTCATAGGCTGCTAAGTGGACACCTGAGTCCTCAAGATCTTTCGCTCTGTACTTTCTCCATTATCCATGGAGACTGCTTTGGGCCTACTTCTCAACCTTAGAAACCATGTGCTGCTAATATGGACTCAATATAAGATTCTCCCTTAGAAATGACTCCCTTAGTTTACCTGTAGATAATTGATATACTGCACAATTATCATTGCTTTGGAACAAAAGCCTCTGTAATTTCAGTCTTTCTGGCCCACATTTCTATCTAAAAATGAAGTCAAACAAAAAGGCAGAAATCATACAGTGTTTTGAAATAAACCAGATACTGGTATTTCCACATTTGTTTCCTTCTTTCTAAAAAAGCTACTGCTAAATGAAGCTCATCTAATGGTATCTAGTTGGGGGAACTGGTAATCTGCAAACACAACGTACTACCATACATTGCCCTTCTTCCCCAAAGAGCCTTTCAGAGAGAACTACCTGCCCATTTTCAAGTACCAATGTCCTTTTTAATGTAGCATGAAATCAAACTATATAGAACATAAAGAATTATTATTCATTCATGGTCCCAGAAGGGTTGTTGGTATGTATCCCTTACTGCAGGGTCTTTATGTCAGTTTTTCATCAACTGTCCTTACTGCTGTTTTTCATCAACTCTAAATTGCCATAGATGGTAAATACATACTTTTTATGGATCATCTAACATACAATTAGACTATTTGGTTAAATTTTGATACTGCCTTTCCTCCTGATGGAAGAAGTCATAGCACAAATAATTGAACATTAACTTGGTTTGTCTTTTTGCTCATGAAGCCTCCTCAGGGGGCAGGTGTTATGAATTTTTTTCTTCCAGGACTAATGAGAGGTGTGTAGTGAGTTATCTGTAATTTCTTGCCAGTTCCCCATTATGTAGCCAGTGGCTTATGTTTTAAACAGCTCTCAAGCTGGAAGTGCAATAAAGTAGCTTGGATCAGAGTTTATTTTTTCTGGCTATAGATCATCAAGTTAAAACACAGAGCCTAAAAAGCACTTTGGATAAAGAAATGAGGGGTCAAAAGAAGAGGAAGAAGGGAAAAGGATGATAAGGAGGGTATCTAAAAAAAAGAAATTAGCTAATACTAAGTATTATAAGAGTCTAAATTCAGGGTGTAAATACTGCTTATTGCTTATTTATGGTTTTTGAACTTGACACTTTACTGCATAATGTTATTTCTCATTTTTCATTTAGTTCTCTTGAATTTTCTTAGGATGACATTAGTTTGCCCTCTTAAACTAGAAGTTCCCAAATGAGATGTTAACATGTCCTAGCTCAAAACCATTCATTCAGGGGCGCCTGGGTGGCTCAGTCGGTTAGGCGGCCGACTTCGGCTCAGGTCATGATCTCGCGGCTTGTGAGTTCGAGCCCCGCGTTGGGCTCTGTGCTGACAACTCAGAGCCTGGAGCCTGCTTCCGATTCTGTCTCCCTATCTCTCCGCTCCTCCCCTGTTCTCTCTCTCTCTCTCTCTCTCTTTCTCTCTCTCAAAAATTAATAAACATTTTGAAAAAATTTTAAAAAACCATTCATTCAGTTTATTGCCCTTAAGATAGAGTTTAAAAATTCTTAATATGAACTAATTGGGTCCTCTGTGGTGTGGTTTCTTCTTACCTCTTCAGACTCATCTCCTTCCATTAGTTGCCTTTCAGCTTCTTGACTGTGTTATGTTTTCTCTTGATTCAGAGCCTTTGGATGTGCTCCTTTCTTGCAGCTAAAATCCTAACCATCCTGTAGGTTTCAGCTTGAAAGCCTTCCTGACCCCCACACTAGAAAGAAATCCCCTCCTGCCCCCCTTTCCTTCTGCTTCCATGACCTTTTCCCCCACCTGAGGGAGAAAGTGTGAAGGAGGGCTTGAGAAGAGGAGCAAAGGTTCAGAATAGCCGCTGTGGCAATGGGCAAAGGGTTAACTGCAGAGAAGCAGCCAGATGTCTCCCCATCATCGAAGGGGTCCTCGGTTACTGGTACAGGGACTAGTCCACCTGGTTGGTTTACGGCACTTCCTTCAGGGGCATTCCACGGCCCAGGGACCGAATTAGTAAAAGAGACAGTTGGACTGGTCCAAGCTAGTAGTTCTCCACCGGTGGTGATTTTGTCCTGCAGGGACACATGACAGTGTCTGGAGACATTTTTTTCTTGTCCCAACTGCAGAGGCAGGGTGTTTTCTGGACATTTAGTAGGGAGAAGCTATGGATGCTGCTAAACACTCCACAAAGCACAGGACAGACCCACACAGCCAAGGATTCCCTGACACCAGATGTCAGTGGTACCCAGGTTGAGAAACCCTGAGGTAATCAGTGGCCTGAGGGGGAAAAATAGGTTGTATTGGACCATAGGGGGCTCAGAATACAGAAATCTCCTTCCCCTTGAGAAGATGGCGCACATCACAAGATCGCTCACACTGGGTTGCTGCTGTTGCACACAGTGCCTCACACGACCGGGCTTCAAATTCACAAACCGCCAAGGGCTTAATGATTTTTCTCAGAGTATCTGTTGCCTAACGTTATGTGCAGGACCACGGAGACCACATAGGGTGTGGAAATAGCAGTGAATCAGAGTAAATACGGTGTAGAATTTGAGGGGGAAAATCACAATTGCAATGTAAGTAAATATGTCTGTCTATTTACAAATAGATCCATATAAGTAAGGCTTTTATAATTCTCTCTTTTTTTGCATTTTAGATATAGGTCTTATGTATACTTTTGGAGATGGTCGACACGGAAAATTAGGTCTTGGACTGGAGAACTTTACCAATCAGTTCCTTCCCACTTTGTGCTCTCATTTTTTGAGATTTATAGCTCACTTGGTAAGGGCACCACATTTCCATGTTTACATTTTCATATTGTAATACTTGAGTTTCAGTATTTCATAGAAACTAAGGAATTTTATGTTTGTCTAAAAGAATATCATGCCTATATCTAATCAGTATACTCGTTTCCCAAAAGCCAAACGTCAGACATCATGCCACTTGGAAAATCTGTCCCTTTCCTACTTTCCCTCCTGTCAGCATCTTCCTTTTCGCCCTAACCTGGACTCTTCTGCTTCGTTCTCCTGTGTCTCTTGAGAGCCAGAACAGTGCCATGCCTGGAAGCTTTGTGGCCTCTGCCAGCGCCCAGCAGAGTATCTGACAGTAGTCCACTGTCAATATTTGTTGAATTAGATCTTACTGAGTCTTATTTGAAATGATAATAATTTCAGGGCCCCTGAGTGGCTCAGTCGGTTAAGTGTCCGACTTTGGCTCAAGTCATGATCTCGTGGTCCTTGAGTTGGAGCCCCACATTGGGTTCTGTGCTGACAGCTCGGAGCCTGGAGCCTGCTTCGGATTCTGTGTCTCCCTCTCTCTGACCTTCCCCTGCTGGTGCTCTCTCTCAGCATAATAAGTAAACATTAAAAAAGAAATAATATTATTTGAAAAAAAAAAATAATAATATTATTTGAAAATAATTTCAAAATATTATGAAGTAAAGGTTCAGAGTATGCTATTCTTATAACCACCACGTTGAACACTATAAAGATACTAAAAATCTGTGTCTTGCAGATGCTACACAATGGTGCTTTAGGCATTTTATTGAAAATCAGCTATTTCTGAAAATCCTTTGGATGTTGGTTTCATTTTTCATTGTTGCACCATTGTGCATGCTTACCTTTCACTCTAAGGACTTTGAAGCATTAAAATAAAAAAAGTGTTCATGTAAAGAAAAAGGTTTGGAGATTTAATTTCCCCAAGAGACTGATTTATGCTTGGATCACTTTTTTCTAAGTAGAACTTCTCGGAGTAATTTTTTCAAGGTGTTAGTGTTGCTCCCAAATTAAAATAACATTTTCTAACTAGTTAGGAGAAATGTAATGTGCCAAATAGTTTTTTTTCTCTATACTCTATTAAATTGGAAGTCAAATGGTATGTTAAACTTGTTCTCATTTTCAATTGCAGTGTCTAAAGAATATATATATATTGCCATCCGTGTGTGCGTATGTAACTTGGGAGGGGGGCAGACTGACTGACTGACTACCTAGGAAGTCTACCATTAAGTAAACGTTTTGTGGCTGCCAACTGTTAAAAACCCATTTGCATTTGAAGCCAGTGTTGATTGATTTATCTGTGGTTTTATGCTGCAGGTGTCTTGTGGTGGATGTCACATGCTAGTTTTTGCCGTTCCGAGACTTGGTGGGACAGAAGAAATTGAGTTAGAGGAAGTTAAGGATGCTTGCTTCCATGCAGAGGCTTCTCTGCCCCTCAGCAATCTGAACTCAGGGAATGTTTTGCAAACAACTCTATCAGCACGTGTGCGGCGACGAGAGAGGGTACAAATTGTGGCCAATTCTATATCGTGGCACTACAAAGAAAACAAAAAAATTCATTTTCTTTTTAAATCAAAGAAGGGTCTTTTAAGACAGATTTACTAAATAAAATGGTTAGAGTTTCAGGCTTACAAACTTGAAGCAAATTCAGAGTTAAGCTGTTACACACACAAATGAGAAAATTCAAATGATCATGGATAACCTTGACTTACCGAGAGTGGATACAAAGCAAGGATACAAAGCGTCCTTTTAGAGGCCTATCTCAGCTCTTCACGTTGAATGCTGAATTGTTTTCTCACCTCCATGTGCATTGATTCTACTTTGCTTTTTATCTGTTGGCTATACCTCGTGAGCTGTGGAAGGTTATCCATTATAAACAATGAAATGTAGGAAACAGAAATAAGGACTTCGTTCGAGATAGGGAGTGTTCTTTCTCATTGAGATTTAGAAGTTCTCATTCAGCTTTAAAATGATTATTTCAATAACAATATTAAAAAAAAGAAAATGTCAAATAATTTTAAAGGGGACATTCCTTTTTAAAAAAATTAAGTTCCAAAACATTTTCCTTTTGAAGTAAAAAGGTTAAGTTTGACTTTTTGTTATGAAAAAGTGTATATAGAAAGATTGAGAAATATCAGTGTTTTGGAGTTACTCTTTTTGTTTAGGCCTCATGACTGATTTTTTGTTTCCTAGCAGAGAAAATACATATACGCTTTTCCCCATCATGTGAAAAACAGGCTTCTAACTTAACAATTTAGAGCAATTTAGATTCAGAGATAACAGAACAAAACATTTTTGAGTTCTTGGGGATTATTTAAAAATGAATGTGGGACAGTGGGCAACTTTGAAGTCTCTTTCTTAAATATTTTTAGCAACTGGAGAACAGTTTATATCAATATTAAAAACATCCTCTGTTTATTTAACCTGTTTATTTTAAAGGAGAAATCGCCCGACTCTTTTCGAATAACACGAACACTACCTCCACTTGAAGGGATTCCTGTGCCACCTGTTTGCTTTTCCTCCATTCCTTTTCCTTTCCATATGTCTGCAGTTAATCTGCCAGAGACCATGATACCTGAAGATGAGGACCTCATGCAGCCAATGGAACCAGGTAACATCTGATACTCTGCAGGCTCACACAAGAAATGTACCTTTTATTTCTGTTGTTTTCATGTTTATCTTAAGATGTTTTTGTCAATTAGTTAACTTGTCTTCCTAGTTAGAGGCTGACCTCTCTTATCTGAGCTCAAGTCCAGGAATACTCTTACAAATACAGAGCATCGTAAGTGACCCTAGAAATCCCGTGTAACAATAGCAGTGTATTTTTATAGAGCAATGTATAATACACATAGTACCTTCTCTTATATCATCTCCTTTAAATCCTGAAGCAATTCCATGAAATAGGTGGGAGTTAATAAATTTGTTATTTTTATTTTTATTTTTTTTTAATTTTTTTTCAACGTTTTTTATTTATTTTTGGGACAGAGAGAGACAGAGCATGAACGGGGGAGGGGCAGAGAGAGAGGGAGACACAGAATCGGAAACAGGCTCCAGGCTCCGAGCCATCAGCCCAGAGCCTGACACGGGGCTCGAACTCACGGACCGCGAGATTGTGACCTGGCTGAAGTCGGACGCTTAACCGACTGCACCACCCAGGCGCCCCGAAATTTGTTATTTTTATAGATAAGAAATGCAAGGTTTGAAGAGACTGAGTGACTTGGTCACAGCCACTCAGCTTATAAATGAAGTGAGCAGGATTTGAATACTAGTCTTCTGGACCTATGTGAAGTCCTGCGTTTAGATAGTATAGCATAGTGGTTAAGAGCATGGGGTATGGGGTTCAATTGACCTGGAGTGGGATGTCTGCTCTGACATTTATTGACTGTGTGATTTACTTTGGGAAAGTTACTTAATTTCTCTGAGACTTAGTTTCCCTATCTTTGAAATGAGTCTAATACTTCTTTAGAGAGAGTGATTGAGATTAAATGAGATACGGTATATAAAATACTTAGCATTGAGCCTAGCGCCTCTAGGAACCTCTTTGTAAGTATAATCTTGGTTATTATTAACACCTCTACCTCACTGCCTATTAGATATACATTTTATGTTTTATTTTTTTAACGTTTATTTATTTTGAGATAGAAGGAGAGCGCGAGCAGGGGAGGGGCAGAGAGAAGGGGAGAAAGAATACCAAGCAGGTTCCGTGCTGTCAGTGCAGAGCCCGACATGGGGCTTGATCTCACAAACCATGATACCATGACCCGAGCCAAAATCAGAGTCGGACGCTTAACTGACTAAGCCACCCAGACACCCCCATTTAATGTTTTAAATTGTAATCCCAGCTCCTTGGCTATGTAGTCCTCTTCTAAGTAATTTTGTTTACAGGTATTTGTGTATCTTAAGAGGGTATGTATGTTACTGCAGGGAATGTGCTTGGATAGTAGGGGCAGGGTAAGAAGCCAGGACCCAAGAGATCAGAGTAAGCAGTAGGTTTGGAATTAAGATAATTTGGGCATCTGGAATTAAGAACCACGGCACAGAGAATTTTTAGTGTCTTTGGGATCAAGAACGTAGACAGAAGTTGAGGTCATAAAAGCAAGAATTGTACGCCATGAGAATAGAATATTATCTACAACCAGGACCTTCGTAAGGAGCTGGTTTCTTGCATCTCACACACAACTTTTGTATGATTCCTTTTGAGATAAGAATCACTGGCACCATTCTGTCCTGTACATGGAAAAAGCCGAGTCTAACAACAGTGTGTACAAGGAAAAGAGAAGTTTACAGTTTGGGGGAAGTCGTTTCCTACCTTAAGAGATTTGAATGTGAACATGTACAGAGTTTTGTAGCTAGATACAAAAGAAAAGTGATCCCTTATCTTTTTGTGGCTGTTTGCTAAAAGTGTCTACAAAGTATTCTGAAAGTTATGTCTAACATATAATGTGACTTTTTCTAAATTATTTGCAGACTTCAGTATTTATCGGGGAGGTAGAAAGGTCAGGGAAGATCTTGCTGAGAAGGTGACATTTAAGCTAAAACATAAAGAATAAGAAAGGCAGCCACATGAAGAGAGAGGATGATATGCATTTTAGGCAAGGAAAATAATGTAGGCAAAGGTTTGGAGGCAGTTTATAAGAAAAGGAAGGAAGACCATTGGAGCTAGACAGTGGGGGAAAAGGCTAGAAAGATGCTGAAGAAAGAATGGGAAAGTATTCATGATTTTATAGGCTGTGAGAAGCCTATTTTATTTGAGTGTTTTTCTTAAGTGCAATAGAAAGTCATTAAAGGGTTTTAAACAGTGAAGTGATGTGCTCCAATCCAATTTACATTTTAAGATGCTCCCTTTGCCTCTGTATGGATTGTAGGGAGGAAAGACCAAAAGTAGGAAGAACATTTAGCAGCCTTTTGCAGGAGACATCAGTGTGTGGTCCAAGGTGTTTGCTGTGGAGATGGAGAGAAGGGGGCAGATTGGACATACATTTTAGACAGAACTAACTGGATTTGCCAACCTTATTAATGGATTACACATAGATGTGAAGGAAAGGGAAGAATCAAGGATGGTTCCTAGGCAAGAAGATGGTTGGCAAGCTTGAAGGAAGAATTAAAAATTGAGTTTGAGATACCTGTGAGACATCGAAGCAGAAATATCGAGCAGGCAGTTGAAGATGCAAGCCTAAAGTTCAGAAGAGATGTCTGAACTAGAGAGATAACTTTGGAACCCAGACAACACAGAGATGGTATTTGCAACCCATGGGACTTGGTGAAATCACCTGATAGATAGAATCACCTATTAGCTAGAGAAGAGAGCCCAGGATTTTGCCCTAAAAACATCTAACATTTAGAGTGTTTGGGAGGAAGAGCCAGCAGAGAAGCTCCATCAGCCAGTAGGGTAAGAAGAGGGAAATCAGGAGAGAGTAGGGTCCTGAATTCAAAGTACTGCTCAGAGGTCATGGAAAAAGCTCAAAGAAGCATCCCATGGATCTGGCATCCTGGAGAACACCGGTGATCTTGACACAAGTAGTTCCAGGGGAAGATGAGGGCAGAAACCAGAGTGTTTAGAGTTGAGGCATGAATGGGAAATGAGGAAGTGAAGAGATGGGGTGTGTAGATAACCCTTTTGCGTATTAGTCATGAAGAGGAGTGGAGGAAAGGGCTGGCAGTTAGAGGGAGATGTGGGGTCAATGGAAAATGTTAGAGCATTTTTGTATGCTAATGGACACGAGCCAGTAGTCCCAGATGGATTGGTAGCACACGAGAGCGATAATCCCCAAAGTGCAAAACTCTTGAGGAGAGTGGGGCTGGCATACCGAGCAGTCTTTGATAAGAGGAAAGACACATCCTATCTTTTAACAGGAAAGTGGAGGTAACTGTGTACATTTGTTTGTGGGAAGATAAGGCAGATCAGGTCTGATGACTTCTATTTTCTCAGTCAGGTATAAGGCAAAGCTTAAATGATCTACTGTCTCTTTTCCAAACCTCCATTCTCTGCCGTCTCCAAACTATCCTGCTTAGCATTTCCTATGTTAACCTTCCTCGGGCACAGTTCATTTCCTGTCTGTTCCAGTGTCTTCTGAGAATCCCTAATATTTTTTTAATTAAGTGTAAGTTTCCCCATATAACTCCCAACATGCTTTTCTAGCTTCATCTGTCGATAGTCTTTTTCTTATAACCTTAATTTAGGTCACAGGTCTGTAATCTACAGCTCATGAGCCAAATCTAGCCAGCTGCTTATTTTTGTAAGTAAAGTTTTATTGGAACTCAGTCGTGCCATTCCTTTGTGTATTGCCTATGGCTGCTTTTCCACTACAGTAGCAGCGTTTGAGTCATTAGGACAGAGACTATATGGCCACAAGGCCTAAAATGTTTGCTATGTGGCCTTTTACAGAAATAGTTTACCAGCTCCTAATCTTGATCAAACTGAGCTCTTCACAGTCAGACTTAGCGGAAAAGCTGTGAAGTCACGACAGACCTGACATTGACACTTGGCACTTAATAATTTGTGAAACGGAGATACACTACTTACCTCTCTTGTTGTCATGGAGGTCACTCAACATGTATGAAGGCATGCGCTCCCAGCACATGGAAAGCCTTCATTACAAGCCATTCTGCCACTTCTCTTAGCGCTGGGCTTCCTTTTCTTCTCTGCCCACTTCATCTACTCCTCTCAGAATTCTGCTCACTCTTCCCTGCACCTGTTCAGTGAAATATTTCCTGATTCCCAACATTCGGGTGTGATTTCTCATGCCAATATATCACATATTTTATATTCCCTTCTAGACTGTAAATTCATTAAGAAATAGTAGTTACTTAAGTTGATTATCTCCCGCATAGTACCTCACGTGGAATAAGCACAAACTGGTTATTTGCTTATTTGAATTGAATGTATTTACAAGGGACAGATCAGTGGGGACTGGTGTTTTCAGCGAAGACTTCATTCAGGAGTTCCTCTCAAATATGTATACGGGTGCTAAATGCAGGCAGAGTAAATGAGAAAAATGTAAGGTCAAGTAGAGCTCATAAGTCTTTTTTTTATTGGTGTTTATTTTTGAGAGAGAGGGAGGGACAAAGTTTGAGCGGGGGAGGGGCATTGAGTGAGAGGGAGACACAGAATCCAAAACAGGCTCCAGGCTCTGAGCTGTCAGCACAGAGCCCGACCCGGGGCTCGAACTCACGGACTGTGAAATCATGACCTGAGCCGAAGTCAGACACTTAACTGACTGAGCCACCCAGTGCCCCAAGCTCATAAGTTTTAATGATCTGCTTTATGATGTAATAACCTTACAGTTTTCCATGCAAGTTTGTAGTGCTTATACTAGTTATCTTTTTCTACATAACAAGTGACCTTAAAACTTATCTAAGAGTTTGTGAGGGCCAAGAATCCAGGTGCAGCCCAGCTGAGGGGTTCTGGCTCAGAGTGTTTCCTGCAGTTACAATCATGCTGTCAGATGGGGCTGTAGTCATCTGAAGGCTCAATTGGGGCCGAAGGATCCTCTTCCATGTTCACTCATGTGGCGATTGGCAGGAGGTTTTACTTCCTCAGCATGTGGACTTCTCCCTAGGAATGCTCCTAGCATGGCTTCCCCCAGAGAAAGGGATGCAAGAGAGAAAGACGGGGCGGGGGGACCAAGATGTAAACTGCATTGACATTACAATTATGTCAGCTTTATTTTATTGGCCATACAGATCAGCCTGGTAAAATGTGGAAGGGAACAACACAAGGGCACACATACCAGGAGGATGTGGGTCACTGGGGCCCCTTTTAGGGACTGGCTGTCACAGTGCTTGATACCTGGGTAGTACATCTCCCAAAGGAATAGTGTTTGCCCATTCATATGAATGTAGCAGTTGTTATCAGCATCAAAACCTTTCAATTTTCAGAAAGAGACTTTAAAACCTGTTATCACTATGAATGAATTCTGTTCAGTTCCCTAAACATGAAGTTAAAGGACTTTAGTAAAATTATGTCTGCACTTTACATTATGGAATAATTTATTGTCTAGTTGTCTTTCAGTTTTCCATTGAAATCTGGTTTTCCCTTTTCCCTTTGAATCAGATTATTTTCAAGATAAAATGACCACAGAGAAAGAGACAGACATTTCTTCAGCAACAGATTCAGAAAGCCTTGGAGAAACTACTGATGTCTTAAATATGGTAATGGTTTTCTTATTTATCTATATAGATTTCTTTGAATTTTAGTTCATCATGTATTCATATGTGTGTATACTTCCTATACTGTTAAATGCATCACAAAAGCTTTTGATTTTGGTTTTGTTTTCATTTTGCTTGTTATTTTTATGTTACACATTATTTTATTGAGGTACAGCTTTCATACAAATACAATTACTTTCAGTCCTCATAACATTAGTATGCAATTGAGAGTTGATTATATTACTATCTGAACTGTTTTGTGTTAATTTCATATATACATTAGAATGTGTAAATGTGTAATTCTATACATAGTATTCTTTTTAGAACATATTTTTTTGTTTATTTCAGACACATATGATGAGCCTGAATTCCAATGAAAAGTCATTAAAATTATCACCAGTTCAAAAACAAAAGGTAAAATATGGAGACTTATTTTCATTATTGTGGGTAAGAACAGTTTAAATTACATTTTTTGTTGAAAGGTTTCTAGAAAGAACACATGAAAGATAAGTATTCATTTACTTTAGATTTTAACAGACACAGGAATACATTGTAGATAGCCTCAATTTGGGTCTGTTCTGTTGGAATATATTTCCTGTGGTGCAGAAAGAGTGACAGAATTTCATTGGTATCACTAACAAGTCATAATAGCAGTATTTGCTTATCATCAAAGCAAAGGATTATTACGGCACTTCCTAAATACTGGAAGAGGCTACTGTTTATCGGAACAATTCTCAGACTTGGGTTGAGTAGGACTTTGGTTGAGTTACCGTGCTGACCTAAAAGGTCTTTTCTAGCTCTGAAATTTGCTGGTTTTAGTGAAAATATTTGATAATTGCTTTTCCAATGTGTGGAATGGGTTTTAATCTGTCAAGGAATTGCTAGCATAAAAACAGAATTAAACATTTGGAAATTAATCAGAAACCATGCTTGGGTGATAAAGGGAGGCTTTTAATGAATAACAAATGAATAGCAAAAGGAAGGGATAGTCTGGTTTTCACAGCCCTGTCGAGATAAAGGCCTGCCCTAAAATCCTTTGCTTCTCCTGGCTTTGAGGACCAGTGAGGTGAAAGGAGGAGAGGGATTTGGCGATTAGAAAAGTAAATTGGAGAAATACAAATTGAAGGAAGAAGGCTTATAGAAAACATTTCATTTCCATTTCCAGTGCCTTTGCCACATTAATAAACTAAAACTCCTTCACCAAAATGCAAGAGAGTCTCGCTGAATTATAAAAATTTAGTGCCAGTCTTCATTTAGTCTTATCTCTAGTTTGCTGAGAGGCCTGGCCAATAACAACATTCCTTTTGAATATGGGAGAGCTGTTGTCGTCGTACACCGAGGAAGCCCAGCGAATGTTGACTGACTATACTTCCATGCAGATATCTTTCCTATGTATTTTCTTCCTCTTTTAGACTCGAGGCTCTCCTCTTCCGTGCTGCCTTACTGTACTAGGGAAATAAAGACACATGCATGTAGAAATCATTTCTGGCATCTGGGCCTCCGTCTCTCTTTAGGGCTCTGGAAAGAATTGTGACTTTGTAAATAGGACCTAGAACAAACAGAAAAGGAAAGCACTTCCTTTTAAACTGAGATATATTTTATACACATAGTCCTTTTAAGTAGAAGCCTGACAAGACCTATTCTAGTGAACAGAAAAAGATTTATTTTAGTGTTTCCATATATTAATTTTTAACTTGTGCTGTTTTAATAATTTTTTAAGCAAAAAAAAAAATGACCTCTTCCTAGGCCTAGCACTCATGCCAATTTTTAAAACTTGATTTCATGAGATTTTACAATCCAGTGAGCTGAATTCATCAAATATTTCAATTCATTAGCTTGTAGAATTTAGGCCAACAATTTGATTTTTACCTTATTTTGTCCAGCAGGAAATTAATTTCATATTCTTAATGTATCATTTGAGTCACAATGTTTAGTTTCATAGCTTTTATAAAAATCTTACATTTTACCTGAAGTATTTTTTCCTCATGGTGGTTTCTTTTACATATGCAAGTTTTTATAATTAAAGAATACAATAGATAAAAGGAAAGGGTTAAAAATTTGAAAACCCAAAGAATTGTTTTGAAAAGAAAGATATTATTATCTAGTATGTGGATAAGAAGATTTCATTTGTTGTTTTCATTTCAGATTTTTCCTGTAGAGATAAGCTATTCATTTTTTCTATTTTGTAACAATTTCATATTTTCATTTATTTTGTTTTGGGAAGTTCATGGAATCAAAAGACCAATCACAGTTTGACAATTAAAATACTAGGGAAGGTAGGAAAAAACGAAACTGCATTGCATGGAAGAGAAGTGTACATTTTTAACAGTATTCTGCAGAATCAGTCTGGAAGTGTACTCCATTTGAGAATTGATTCAGGATGAGAAGAGGGGTAGAGAAGAAATATTGATGGTACTGTGTGAGTAACGGCCAAACGGAAGCAGGTGGTAAGAATGTGCAGGTTAGACGCAGAGACACGGTACCGCAGCAGAACCGGCTGCCCCGTAGACTTAGAGAGTAGCATAAATCATGTCTAGAGAAAGCGACATCTGAGCAAAGCATCTGGTCAAACTGGACGCTTTTTATTCTGCCAGCGACACTTAAGAGTGTTGCAGAATCTTGGCGGTATTTTGTAGCAGATAAGTTAACCTTTGTCAATTAACAGTCATATGACAATTATTTCACAAAATTTGCAGAAACAAGAAACAGTCGAGAAACTGGAGCAGCATACAGCTCACTTTGAAAATGATGGTAGTAAAGAGCGTGCAAGTGAAGAGACGTCCAGAACGGTGAAAGAGGGGAAAGTATATAGACAGCTGGTGGCAAAGGGAACGTACATGCTGCCAATACCTGGGACTGGGCGCGCGTTTTCATATGAGGACTTAGGTGAGGAGTGGGGCCGGCGGGGGCCTCAGGCTGACACCCATGCCGAGGGTGTGCGCAAAGAGATATTTAGATGTGAGAGCAAGCACAGTATTTACCCACCTGATGGCAGAGAGATAGAACGGAAAAGTGATGGAGGCAAAAGTCTGAAGGACTCAGAAACGGAAGAAGCAGTGTCTGAGAGAGGAGCTGAGCTGCCGGAAATGGCAGGTCTGAAGGATATGAGACAAAGTGAAGAGAGTTTAAGAAATATGAATATGTTCTTTGACGACTTACCAAATAGAGATGTGGATATTGAGGATGAAGAGAGTAAACGCTTTTTTAAGGACGTTAAGAGGCACAAGCAAAATGTGATCTTTGACAGTGAAAGAGAATCTATAGAGTCAGACAGTTACATGGAAGGAGAAAATGAAAGTCAGCAAGGTATCACTGATGGCTCTGAGCAGCTCGAGTCAGTAGAATTTAGTAGCGGAGAGAATGAGGATGATGAAGTGGAAACTGACCAAAACTTGTGGTATAGCAGGAGATTTATTCAACAAAGATATGAGGAAGAGACTGAACACAGAATGTCCACATTCATCGCAAAATATAAATTTAACTTTGGGCACTTGTCAGACATCCCAGAGGAGCAGGAAGGCACAGAGGAGTCAGAAGGAAGTGAAATAGAGAAGCAAGAGGTAGATGCAAATGAGGAAAATGTGGAGGTGCACGAAGGAAAAGAGGAGAAGGAAATAGAGATCCTGTCAAACGACCTTACAGACAGAACTGAGGTGAGTGAGGGCAAGGGAAAGCCAGGGGGAGAGGTGGAGGAGGATGTGCCTGAAGCTGGAGGTGAGGGGGGAATCCAGTGGGAGGGAAATTCTGGAGTGGAACAGAGTCAGAGTGAGGAGGGGGAAGAGGAGGAAGACGAGGGAAGAGGAGAAACAGAGAGCCTGGATAAGGGAGAGAAAGACCCAGAAGAGGAGGAGGACCGGGACCGAAGGGAGAGGGAACAAGACCATAAAGGGACAGGGGAAGGGGAGGGGCAAAGAGATGAAAAGGAAGGGGAGGGGAGAGAAGGGGAAGAAGAAAGGGAAGAGGAAAAAGAGAAAGAAGGCAAGGAGGAGGGAGAAAGGAAAGAGGAAGAAGCTCAAGAGGAAGGACAGGGAGAAGGGGAAGAAGAAGAGGAGGAGGAGGAAGGGGAAGGAGAGGGAGAAGCAGAGAAAGGAGAGGAGGAAGCAGAGGGGGAAGGGAAGGAAGGAGAAGGGGAAGGAGAGGGAGAAGCAGAGAAAGAAGAGGAAGAAGGGGTGGAGGAAGAGGGGGAAGGGGAAGAGGAAGGGGAGGAGGTTGGAGAGGAGGAAGGAGAGGAGGAAGGAAAGAAAAGAGAAAGTGAAGGGGAAGAAGAAGAGGGAGAAGTGGAGGAAGGAGAGGGAGAAGGGGAGGAAGAAGAAGTGGGGGAAGCAGGGGAGGAAGGAGAAGAGGAGG